GGGAGAAATCCCATTTCGATCAATTTTGCAGCCTTTACACCTGCTTGGATCAGTGGAATTGACTCAAGTGCTACATTAATGGCAGCTCAACGGAATGTTCTCGTGACATGACAGTTTTTGGCGGTGCTTTGGGGTTGACTCAACAGATTCGGTTACTATAGTATTAATGTATCTATTGAAAATGGCTGCTTTTTCGTCATGTCGTTAAAAGAGAATCAATTTTACACAGTGGTGAATAATAGGGGTAAAGAATATTAAGAGGACATTCAAAGGAGTGGGCGAAACCGGGAATTCTGTCATTTTTCCACATTACAAAGTTTGACAATGACCCTGCTAGATGCAAAAATGGAGTGAAATTATGAAGTATTTTTGAGAAGCTACTCTAAAAGCAAGCACGTTTGAGTTCCACTTTCTAGTAACCTTTCCTGCGCTATTAAAGCGACACTAAAACATTATCCAAAGGTGGAGAGAAATGATTTGGAAGTTCACCAGCACAGTACAAAAACCATCTACTTGCAGTCCCTTCTGCTCTGTAACACCTGCAGGGAAAAATTCAAAGTATAAGCCAAAATGTTTTTCTCTTACTAACCAGTAAGCTAGGCAACTCAGTCACACTAAATAACTGCCCAAAATATATGCGCTGGTGGTGGTGGTGTGGGGGGGATAGGGCAAAGGGTAGCAGGAGTAGGAGCAGAAGCAGTTTAGATAATCACAAACCCCTCCTACTTATACTAATAATAATTGCTGCCCGACGACGTTAATGCTAGCGAACGCGCACAACCCGCTAATGCAGTGCAGTACACGTTGGTGCTACTAATGCAACTGATAACCATCGCACTCTGCCGACGTTTTTGCTGGTCCACCTAGTATCTACATACATACATACCAACCTACCAACCTAACTACTTAACTACTTACATGTGTGTCAATGAACAAGCTCGTACACGCCAGCCTTATCGATATCTCGGGACCTAAAGGTCTGCCTGGAGGCGTTGCATGGCGCTGAAATCGTCTTGGAGCGCCGGAGGTAGGGTGTAGGTGGGTGGGGGGAGGAGAGAATGGGAGGTGGGAGAGAGAGATTGAACTGGCCTAATTACTCCTGTGCTAATGTACTTGGGGATAGGGATAGGCGGGGGGGGGGGGGGAANAAGGTTTGGTAGAGCTAAAGTTAATTAAACGGACTCGCGCGGCCCTATCTCGGTTGGTGCATCTTTCAACTGCAAAATGCATGTTAATTAGTTGGAGTATGGTGGGGTACGGTTGAAGCAGGAGGGATGACTGCTATCTGCGGATCTTTGGAGGGGCTAGGAGACAAGGTACGGTGCAGGCGTCAGATGAGGCCGTGTTTTGTTTTGAGCCATTCTAACTTTGCAATTTAGGGGAAAGGGGAGGGAAAGGAACTGGTCATTACATGTTTCTGCGCGCGCGTGTGTGCGTATAAACGGAAATACCAATTGGACCGGCACTAAATGGATGTGCAGCTAGGGAGAAATACATTCTCTTGAAATTGCACAAAGAATAAACCTTAGAGATTCTGTTCAAAAACCAAATTTAATCAGGAAAAATGAGCATTAACAGCACTTCCTAGGCGCGAAAAGTGCCCGAACCCATAATGAAGTAGCATTTTACTGTTTTACCTTAATTAAATACATTCTTTCGTCATATAAAGGAAGGAGAACAATGACAATTTTTTAAAGAAATCAGATACAACTTCTGTAATTGGTTTTGGACATACCTAATACCACTCAAGAATTCTTTAGTCTGGTCCATAAATAGCCAGAGTATGGCGGTATGCATTTCCATAAACTATCCAAAATAAAAACATTTGATTTGCTTTTAATAGTGACAATTTTTAAATTATAGAGAACAAATGGGTAGACATTGATGCCAAACTCAAAAAAGCATAACATCTCAACCATACAGCAAAACTTTTGTTGCTTACTTTAATATTTGTGGTTTTTAAGAGGTGACTGTAATATGACCACAATATGAGCCCGAGAGGTCGATATTGGTAGTCATACAGATAATGCCTATTATTCTAAGAAGACGTGGAAAAGCAGTGGTAATATAGCTTTTAGTAAGACCAAAACCAAAACGCAGAAAAGCTGGGTTAATTTTTGCTTAAGATATCAAAGGAAAAAGTACACTTACAGCTAAAGCAAAACTTTTTATAAAAATCCGATTTGCAATTTAAAAACTTAAGCCAGGGTGTACTTATTTCATTCAATAAGGCTAGCATACCTTGAAACCACGAGGAGTAGTGCCTTGTTTCATTAAACTGCGGGAGAGCCGCGCTCTTCCCTACAGAGTCTTTCTTGGACTGGTAATGTTCGCCCATATCCTCTACGATAAACATGGCTGTTCTTGATTTCGAGAAAGAGGTCGTTGACACACCGTCAACGAATAAATTCAACACGAAGTATATCCCGCAAGAGGTCTTAGGTACTGGTGCGAGTAGTACGGTGCGTCGGTGCATCTCAAAAGAAACGAAGGAAGAATTTGCCGTCAAAATTTTGGATCTAAATAGCGGCGTAGAAACCAACGAAGTTCTACGCGCAGAGTGTATGCGTGAAGTTTCCATCCTGCGCAAGGTTGCTGGTCACCCAAATATAATAAGACTTGAGGATGTTTTCGAAGAGGATGCTTACGTTTTTCTAGTTTTTGAGCTGTACGTCTCTCTACATTTATTAATTTAGCCAACTTTTACAGCTGTAAGGGTGGGGAGCTTTTTGATTACCTCACAAAGATGATCATCCTTTCAGAGAAACGAACCCGTATGATCATGCGGCAAATGCTAGATGCTGTTAGTTTCATACACTCAAAAGGAATTGTACATCGTGATCTCAAGCCGGAAAATATTTTGATGGATGCTGAAATGAACATCAAAATCTCTGATTTTGGCTTAGCTGTTTACTCTACTGACATGGATGAACTGCAAGGTACTAATCGTAATTCCTCCTGTGAAACCTTTTACTAACCTAATTGTCTGCCCTAGAAACTCGTGGAACGCCAGGCTATCTTGCTCCTGAAGTTCTCCGTTGTGGTTACTACGATGGTCAAGCTCCCTATGGGCAGCCTGTTGATGTTTGGGCCTGTGGAGTTATTATGTACACACTTCTTGTTGGATTTCCGCCGTTTTGGAATAGAAAAGAGTATCTTATGCTTCGACAGATCATGCAGGGCAAATACTCCTTTCGCAGTCCCGAGTGGGATGAAATCAGTGACACAGCCAAAGATCTTGTAAGTTTTTTGAGTTATCTTCCTTATTTCCACAAACTCATTTTGAGAGCTGCTATTTGGGTACATTTGTTCTTACATAAGCAGCAAGTTTAATTAGTTTCCTTTAGGGCACTCATCACGAGTGCTTTTGTGAAGGATTTATTGCCATGAGTGGTGGCCAACGGGGCTGTGGTGCGTGACTAAGAGGGCTGGGTGCTACTGGCTGAGCAGTTGCACCAAACGTAGCCGTCACGTACACAGGTGCGGACGCACGCATAACGCGGTCGCTTGCGAATTTGCGTAAATAGCTGTCCGTTGTGCATTGGGCTACGTTGTGAAGCGATGCTTCGCTCGCACACCACTAGATAGCGGTTTGTTGCCTAGACGCCTAAATGCCATTGGTAGATTTCACGGATGGGAAATCTTACCTAATGAGGAATTAGAATCCCCCTAGAATTAATAGTTGCCTCATGTTGTTTAGACTCCTGATCGTTTAGCAATTCGCCAACGTTAGATATGTGGTTTGCTCCTACGATAGGGGAAAGTAATTGGGTTTACAACACTTGTTTTGTTGGAGCTAGGGAAGTTATGGCTTTGCGAGGGCGGTACAGGGAGGATGTGGTAGCGATGTGACGCGATTAGTCAAGGGCAGTGTGGCTTGACAGGTGCACAGATAATCTACCAATGACGTCGGCAGTTGGCCTAGAGGAACAGATTTTTCACCACTGAGGAGTTTGGTGGTGCTGTTGAACGCTGTGCTTGAGCAACACCATCGCCTGATCCATACATACTGGCCTTGTTTTATGTAGCTGCCCCATTTTCAGGATTAAAGTCCTCTACCAGAACGGAAGCTCCTAGTCCGTTGCATTGTCAATTTATGGCTCAATCACACCCATCTTTAGTTTACCATACTTTAGTCCACCTTTTTCTTGTACTACTTCAACTTATTCACGATGGAACACGTGTTTGATAGTTTTACTAATTCATTTCAAAATGCAGAGCCTAATGTAAATGGATGCCACTCTAGAATTACCCTGCTCTTACCATCCCTTGTTCTTTAGGAAATCAGTCTGACTTTAAATGTTAAATAGGACGTCCTATATCACTCATATAATTTCAGTAAGTAGTATTCCCCTCCCATCCTGACTGAAGTGCAGATCTTTTTACGCCGTTGTCGTGTAGTAGTGTGGAGCGTTACGTTGCATTGTAGGAAGGGTTGGGGTACACTCCTCCTACTAGTTGCATAGTCTCGTTTTCTGGAGAGGGTAAAGTTTTCGTTCAAATAAGAGTTTTACCGCATACATCTCAGTCGTTAATACTTTTGGCCCCTAGAAAGTGAAGGACTGTCAGCGAATGATTGCATCTGCAGTGCATTGAACACACACCCAAAGCGAGCACGGTGTTGAGATTGAGGTATACGCAGTCCGTAGAAGTGTACGGTGAATGGTGACTCGTTTTGGGTTAACCGAAGGTATACTCGTTCGTTTATCCAACGTTGGAGTAAAGTACGTGTCATGTCAATCAGTCAGTCAATTCGGAAGCAGCAGGGAAACTGCATAAAGTTGAAGGCGTGAACGACAAATCGACAGTTTGAAGTCCATTGTCATCTGTTGGTGTATGTGGGTGACATTCATTTGCTTAGCTTCTACCATGACTTTCCCCTCCAGGTTGCTGTAGGTGTAAGCGAATTGTTTTACCAGCACTCACTTTAAACATGAATTATTTTCTACTACATTCAGCTCACATTACTACTTTACTTAATAGCAGCGCTCAATTTTCTAGTTGTTGAACTTGATGCACCTATCGTTGAGTGATTCATCACGAGAAGCGACTTGCTGTTGGTATGTTCCGTCACTACATCTTTTCCAAATGTTCCACAACTAATTTGATGAGAAACTTCCGCACCTTATTTGGAGCAAAATAAAAAATTGATACGAATCACCGTAGGGATAGACTGACGCATATCTCCGCACCCATGCAAATAATGGCCTGTACTTTACAAGACTCTATAAGCCGCAACAGTTCATTCAAACGATGTCGACCAAAAACCACATGCATTTTTTGGCCACCTGGTATTCAATGTTCACTTCATTTGAACTACTTTTGGCCAGTCAGCATCATGACTGTTTCATGTCCACTTTTTTGCCTGCGATTGTAGTCGGAAATTGATGTAGGTTGAGAGGAGTGGGTTGGACTATTTACGAGGGAAGTGTTTTACCGGGTGAGGGTGTGGCTACCTGATAGGCTGAATGACATGTAGTGCGTTGGAGAGATTCCCCTTTTTAGACGTGAGTTGCATATCAATTGTGTCAGGAGGTTTGATTTGTCTTGTAGGTAACGTGGTTTTCGGCTGTACTTTTAACCTGTCTTCCTCCTTCATGGGCTAAGTGTTTGTCACGTGGGCGAAATCGGCAGAAATACGGAGGCAAATTTCTAGATGGACCTTGACGTGTGTTAGTGGGGATTTGTCGCCTCTGGGGTTCACTGCACCTCCTTGTTAAGAGCAGTGTCGAGAGTTAAGTGTCAGTCTCAAACTGCCTCCATCAATTCCATTGGGTCGCAGTTCCCATGTCAATTCGTGATTGTCATTCCAAAAAAGTAAACGAAAAGTTGTGGTAGGGCGAAAGCAGCTATCACAGAGTGTTTAGGTATTTAGCAAGTTAGGTACCGGCGTCACATATGACCGGCCTCTTTCTTACCTGTAACCACAAGTTCCAATTTAGAGGACACACCCTTTACTGCTTCACGATAATTGGTTGCACAAAATTTTGTGCTGTGCAGATGGATTGGTTGACGCAGGCCGTTGGTATGAGTTCAATTCCTTTTGTTTTCTAGCTTTTGAGCAGCGGTTAAATAGGTCGTTTTGATAGTATCATTGTTGGTGCCATGTCAGAACGAAAACAAACACCTGAATACTTGGGGCGGTCCACTTGCCTTGGAGACAGATCCTGATAGTCAATGTGTTTGGTAAGCCTCCTACGCAAATATAACGCTTCTACCGCTATATCAGAATAGGTCCATCTCATTTCTTATATACCGATGAAGCTCCACCAATAATGCCACTTTTTATCTTCACAGATCCGTTCGATGCTGATTGTTGATTCCGCAGCACGGATCAAGCCAGCTGATGCTCTCTCCCACGAGTTTTTCAAACAGGTAACCTCTCTCCTCAAAATTATCACTTCTGCTTCCGTTCCAGCAAGAGATCACGAGGCCTTGTTTTCTTCAATTGCAGACAATCTCTGCCCCCATTACCACCAAATTCCACGGCAGGCGGAAGTTCAAGGTAAGTTTTACCATCTGCTAACGAGGTCTGAAGTTACTAATGTCTTTCTTGTGCCCATCTGGAGGTAACCCTCTCGTTCATCTTATTCCTCTATCTCCAGTCGGCCTATCGTGCACTTCTCTTCATCCGCATATTGAAGGATTTGAAGGCCTGTGGAACCACTCTCTCACTCCATAAACTCACCACTGACCCCTACTCGAACAAGCGTCTCCGAAAACTCATTGACGCACTGGCTTTCGATGTCTACAGCCACTGGATCAAACGGGGCGATGAGCAGAACCGGGCGGCATTGTATGAGAATAAACCGCACTGTGAACAGGTTCAGATGACCCTCACAACACCTCTCCAACTGCATCCAGATTTTTTGGAGCCCGCGGAATTCAGAGATGACACTTTTTACGAGCCTTCCGGTGTGCGATAGTAGCTGGAAGAGGAGCTGTTTCTTCCCCTTATTTTCACCTATCTTTTTTGTTTAGTTTGTTTCGGTCTCCACTTCCTTGCTCCATCCCTTTCATCCTCGCGCTATTTATTTTTTGGTTTGTTTGGTTGTTTATTAGACATGCCTGTGCATCCGACACATGACGCGGGTCCGCCCTCAATCTGACGACAATCTAGGAGACAGACAACTGGAGAAAAAAAAGATTATATCATGATCATGACGTACACCTGTCTTCTCTTGTCCTTAATACGGAAAAACTAGGGGACTTGAAACCGGATTTCGTGCCACTAATTCCAGCCGGGGCTGGTTCGTCTGCGCGCAAGTACTACGAACCCTCGGTTGTAGACAGCATCGACGTCGTTGTGGGTCTGTCCAGCCAGTGGCGAACGAGTTCCCTTCTAGTCGTGAACAGTGCATACTGATACGCGGTGCATTGCAGAGGTGAGGTGCTTATCAAACGCTCGTACGCCGGCACCAGCTCGGGTCCTGATGTTGTGAGGCTAAAGGTACTTTTAATGTTTCATCTCTATCGAGAAATTTTTTTAAGGCTTTGCGATAAGCATACGGAAGGAGCGTGTGTCGTACATCATAGCCGTTTTTGAGTGTTGATCGCAGCACAGGAGCAAGTGTCACTCAATGGCTTTTCATCACATGTACATCAGCTGGGTCTGTTTAAGGGTATTACATGACAATGCAAGATCGTACAGGGCACGACTTGTAAGGCATTTTCAATGCGATCTAGTCATTTCGTAACATTGTCCTGCAAAACGTTGCGGCGTGGGAGGTAGTTAGCCGAACAAATCGTTCCTTATGCAAATATCATATAGTCACGGGCCATTCGACACGGATGTATCCATTAACAGCAGTTACCTCTACTTTAGCAATAACCAGCCTGTACACTTTGACACGAGCCCTGTTTAAGACAACATTTGCATCTGTCATATCCGTCGTGAGGGCTTTACTAAACTGTGGCGCTCGAGGCACCTTCTACGGCTTTATAAGGCGTACGTGACTACTGTACACACCCACTCACCAAAAGGTCCGAATTACCTTCCTGTTACATTTTGATAAATCGATTAATCAAGGACGAATGGTGAAGCGGTCATATCCACAAGGGGGCATGAGGTCAAGTGCAGTTACTACGTCAAAAATCAGCAATTCCCAAATCGCCCACCATTCGGTTTATTGCTTCAGATAGCTATCTACTCTAGAAATTCAGAATATATTTTAATAGGGTGGCCTTTTATTTGATTTACAGTTTACTAAAAATACGAAAGTAATCATAGAAAACTGCCGAAACTTCATCGGCAATTAGGGTGCAAAATCACGCTACCGAATAGGCATAAATTGATCACATATATGAAGCTGCACTACAAACTTAGTATTTTATCACGCCATGAATGCTAATGCTTGATTTGATTGTATACAAATTTTGCTTTCAGCTTACGCGATACATAACCTTTACCAATGTTTACACCACTAAAACGTCAAACACCAAGGTCACGATCCGCGTTCTGAATGGCCGAACCCCATACTTTCTCTTCAAGGCGATTAGTCGATTACTGCATTCTCATTGGTTAACTTGCTAACTGCTGAACGGTGACCTACCAACTTCATTTACAGATGAAACCTAATGGTTAAGTAGAGTGAATTTGCCTTTTGTAGGGATACTGCGAAAGAGCATGAAGAGTTTTAATTTTCAACTCAAACTCTAGAATAATTATAGTGAAGTCACCTTGAATAAGGCTGCATTGGGGTTATCATTTTGCCAAATAAAAGACGGAAAACAATATTTACCAGGACTATGGTTCAAATGTCACCATGAGAACAAAAATACACACAAGTCCAGAGTGGTCACTAATGAATTCGCAGCAAAACATCCCATCTCCTTGACGACACACGCCAACCTCCAGGGGAACATCGCATCAAAAGACTGGGAGTAGCAGTGCGTGGCTGGGCCAAAACCATTCACTAATAAATTACCGGTGGCTAGAGACACAATTGAAGTAAAGTGACTTTAAAGATGCGAAAAGACAGAGAAGACAATGCACAAGACGTTACCGACAACGATAAAAGATGAAAAGTGGAGGTAGGATAAAGCCGACTGCGAGTGTTTTCTGTTGTCCTCACTTTCCATAGAAGATTCGATAATAGAGCCACTTAGACCGCCAAAGAGAAAAGGAGTTGTCAAATTTGAAGACGTAGACACCACAGCCGGGATATTGATGACTGCCACAATACACCTCTGTGTGACAATCTCGACGGTAGACCGGTATTAGTTCATCCGTTGGTGGAGTGTTGGTGACCTTTTTACTTCTACCGTTCCCACCTCCACTTTCCACGTCGGCCTCATCTAGAATACACGCATTAAGACGATATCTGGACAGGGTGACATGTCTCTACCCGAACCCTTCAGTCTTCGCAGGTTCTGCCAACACCTAGGTGGCATGAACATTTCTCTGTGCCTTATAGACTTCCTAGCCCCTTTCCACACTGGTATGTCTTGCTGCATTGGCGAAAAATGACGCAAGCCGCTACATATACAGTCGAAAACAAGGGAAAATAATCAGTGCAAACTTTCTCACCTGGAGTGGTGCTAGCAATCCGCAGTTTTGAGGTAGATTCAGCTGCATTCCCATCCTCATCTTCATCTTCCTCTTCTTCCTCCTCATCACTGGACTCAGAAATGGTTATCGTGATGTTTTCCTGGGGTGTGAGGTTCCATTCGAAAAAGAGACCAAATCCCAGATCGTAGGAGTCGGTTGCAAACTCCCAAAAAATGCTGGATCCCTCTTCATGAGTTGGAACTCGTAGCTTCAAAGGAGAAAGTTGTCACTATTTAGAAGTTCAATTTCGAAAGTCGGGTTAGTGAATTTTTAAGCAGTGATTCTCGTTGTCTGACAGGAGTTATTCTCTCGTGGCACAGAGCTAACTTTTCTAATAAATTATTCCATCTACTGACAGATTGTGGGCTTTCGACATCTTTCTACAGCCTAGGATCAACGATTATAGAGGATAGAAATCAAATGATGTAGCGAAACAGTGTTTGCTTTGTGTGTTCAACTATGCAAAATCTCTGCCCACTGGGACTCACAATGGTGACAGCGGAAAGCAAATCAAATGACAAAAAATACTAATTTTGATGGCTAGGTGCCAAGAAGAAAGGCCTGTGCCGTGGATACTCGAATATACAGAAAAGAAAATAGAGAGGGGCTATTAGAAGCAACCATCCCAATCACTTGCTGTGCAATATGTCCAGCGATAACAATGGCCAGTCAAAATTTGACACTAATTGTTAAAGTTTTACTATACCTTAAAATTATTTGCTTCTAGGCTAACATCAAAGGAATTACACCCTGAGGCAGAAGACGTGCTATTAGGGGAGAAGAAGAGTGACTGCTAGAAGCAGCAAAGTCGATTTTCAAAAGAACAACGTGCTACCAGTAATGACACTCCATCCTCCAGCTCTTCAAGATACTGATTATAAAGCATACTCTATGCTGGTGTACCGTCCAAGACTACAATGAAAAGCAAATAAGGACAGACACTCCGAGGTCACCAAATCTCAAAATTGGCCACCACAGGCCTCGCGGACAGAGAGGTAAGGTATGTGTAGAAATCACATGGTTCAGCACATTTGCATAACTATCAAGAATGCTTATCCATCATTACACGATGAACACAAATAATGTTGTGGATCTAGTCGATGCGGTAGCTTGAAGCAGACCAAAGTCTGTTCAGTTAACAAAAGAAAACCTTGAAGAAAAAATTACCTGAAGAAGATGGTATGCGTGGGACCACCGTTCCCCTTATCGATTAGCTGTCAAATGGGGACTTTATGATCATTATTTTTTCGTAGCTTCAAAACTTTCCTGCAGCAAAGACGAACGCTACTGCGAGGTTACTATGTGCAGAGGTAAGTAAACCGTATACCCTGATAGTACCCATAATAGCAGGCACAAAGAAAACTTCACCACAGTGGCTTTTCAATGGCGCAAGAGTTCCGAAGACGACAATACGTCTCCCAGAGATGACTACGATTGGGATGATTCGCTTCTAACCCACAGTTTGTTCAATCAGTCAGTACTTGAAATACCTGATTTTGGACTTAAATCGACGCATAGCTATAATCTACAAGTAGGAGGTGGATCGCTCAGTGGGACCAGTGAATAATTTAAGAAAGTTAACACGTGTTGCACACCAAAACAGGTAGCCAGTCCTAGGATGGCTCAGTCACACTAACAAATTTTTCCAAATATCAGCCAAACGCTAAGAAAGAGACTATGCACAGTTTAGACTCATTGAAATCCCCTCTTCCCAGTTTATGATCTCCGAAGTGCCGACTTGACTCGAGCATACCTCGTAGGCCTCCCTTTCTAGCGGAAGCGAAAAATATCAATGCGCCTAAAATAGCTGCAGCGGAGGGAAAGTGGATAAAAGCTAACCACATTTTTGTCAGTTCGGCATAAATAATCAACAGGGAGAAGTAACTGCGATAATGAGAGGGTAGATTGAAAAGGAAACCACTAATCGACATTTCTGGTCAATTTGAAAACCCAAGAAACCCAACTTATTTTCTTAATTACATTAATAATTTTTCACTAAAGAAATGTTATTTATAAGGAATCAAAGAAAAAATGCACTAACAGTGGCCGAAGCAAGCGAAGAAATTTTGATGCAACACTCGCGATGATTTGACAGAATGTCTTTCTTAAAGTCTGCAATATCCTTTCGGGTCCACATACTTGCTGGGACCAAAGGCAGCGGTACCGGTTCACCTGTAAATCATTGGCGTTATTAGTCAGCGAAGGGAGAGTTTAGGTTAACGGGTGGTTTAATCGAGCAAAACTGGGACAAGAAATAGGGAAACAATCTTCACCAGCACTATCACCACCGTCACCGGCTCCACCTTCTCCTTCACCATTTGCGGCGTTAGTGAGAGAAGCCTCACGTAGACCGAGAAGCTGATCGATTTGACGTTTCTGATGGATCATTTGTGAACGCTGAACATTTTCCATGTAGTATTCGAAGTATTGGTCCTGCATTTGCCGAATCAACTCATCTTGCTAGAAAGAGGTCAGGGTTACATGTTTGATTACCTTAGCAATATCCTTAGGATGCTGTTCCTGAGCATATTGGCGGAATTGAATAATACTCTGTTGGTCTAGAATTGTGCGCATAGCTGACCTAAAAACACGTCATTACAAGGAAGATGAACCTACTCATGCTTTTGCCGTTCTTCTGCGTCCTCGGGACATTCACCACTTGAACCTTCCTCCTCCTCCGCCACCTCCTCATCCTCTACCACAGCTTTCGCTTGTGCTTCCGTAGTGTCGTCATTTTCCGGGGCTGTCGCCACGTGGGATTCTCCACTAGCACTATCGGATTCGTTCTGAGACATGGCCCCTGATCCTGAATGAAAGAACGTCGGGGAAATAAAACATAATTCAAAGTCGGGGTTAAATAAAACCCTGGGTTAGAAAAATACTAATATGCAATATGTCATAAAGTAGGTTCAAGAAGGACGACCTAATTTTGATGGCACAATATTCGCTTATCATAAAATTAGGAAATAAAAGACAGATCGCACGTAATTATGTGAAATAAAGTATCACCAAAACATTAGGTGTTCTAGGAAAATAACTAAAGAGTAGTACTATTTGTGGGACAAAAGTGTTCATCATAATCAAGACTGAGCAAAGTGATGATTAAAAATAGGTTATCATTCAGGGTTTAGTAAGCTGTAGAAATATGAGGTACTTGAGGAGACACCTACTACTCAAGAACCAACGTAGGAGTATTTTTTTTGCCTACTTCATCATTTTAATTTCACACTTGCAGCAAAACCACTAAATTTTGGCAAAACAAATTCGACGCCGGTACTAACCTGTAGCCGATTTAGCCATTGAGCCAAAAAATACTTATTAGATGATATCCAGCAAGACATCCTATACTTGCTACACCTCAGCCCTTTTACTATCACTAGCTTCTCATCGCATAAAATAAAAACAGTGACAGTGGCAAAGGAATGAGAGTAGTCAACGGAGAGCCACTATTTTACGAGATCAAAATAAACCATCAATGGATGATGTAAAACAATAAGATGTTATTAGGATACAAATGAATATCTCCATATTGGATCACTTAAAAAACCAGAATATGTAGGAGATAAAGAAGCTATAGATACTGACAGGAGCACGGACCAATCAACTAGGTATGGGTCGAGAGACCTTGGGATGCATTAAGAGTATTAGTATATTTAAAACTGACTTCACTTCTGCAGCCCTCTGTAAACCAAATCATTTCTTTGTCAAAAATTAAGTTTTTAAAGTGCAAATGCTTGCACAAGTGTTGTAACGCACTAGCAGTCACAGGTGTTTTGCCATTTCGGAGTAGCTGATAATAACTTAGAATAATTAGATTGATCTTACTCTGTTTCGTAGTAAAACATGCAAATAACTGAAAACGCCTATTGCACCTCATTGGCTTGAAATTTTGGGAGGACTTAACGTGAGCACTTCGGCCCTCCAAGTCCGTTCTGGGTTCGAAAGTCGTCAAGGTACTATGGCAGAGTATTTTAGCGTACCGAGACTCCCTGAAGACGAAAGAAGATAAAATACTCGGGCAGAATATATATATTCAGCACGG